CACGTCTAGATGGCCTTAAATGGCACTCACAAACTTTAAATTGTGAATATAATTTTCTTTTTATCTCCGTTTTTATTTTATTTATTTATTTTTTTTAGGAATTGGGTAGGGTCCTTGGCCAAAAGGGGGCCCCGTCGGGCCAACGGGTCCTGTATCTTTAATCGTTATAATATGATATATGCCCTACAGTCGATTTTAAAGACACATTATGGTGATTTTTATCAACAAAGTCCTTTTTGGCCAAGGTACTAGATCAAGGAACCTATGGGTACGGCTCCTTTGGGTCCCCAAGTATTTGGGGGCCCTGCGGACCGCCACATGAGAGCGCATAGGCGTTAATACGCCACTGCTTCTGAAGTTTTTAATTATTTATTTTAAACTTTATATTTCCTGTTGTAAAATATCACGACAATATCGGTTTTCGCATAGTTTATAGAACGTTCTATAAGTTTGTAAAAATCGAAAACTCCTCGCTCGGACGATTAAATTCCTTTTTCACAAATTCTATCGTATTTATGACGACGCAAAAGTCTAGCACATGCGTAGAAACTACATAATTTTGGGCACGGCGGTTCAGACTTGCCACGGCAGGCTTATGAAAAGGTTAAATGCGGTGCCGCGAGTAGTCAAGTAGCGAGTAAATGGTACACTCAGAATAAGTGCTTTCAACGTTAGTATTAGAAGTATTTAAAAGATAATGTGCTGTTTAAAGGGCAGCCATTGAAGATATTTAAGTACAGAGGTATTGTGGAAACATTTTGGAGTTAAAGTGTACATGGGCAGCGTGATTTTGAATCATTTAATGGCGTTTTATAGAAGAATTTAGGAAGATTAAACAAAAGAGAATGGCAATAGTCTAGCTGGAAGTTTTTTATCGATCAATTCAATTTTTATCTCGGAACAATTTGGATTAAGGTATTTACGAATTCTGCATTTGTTACGGATGTGAAAATTGGCAGTCTGACACACAGAGCCAATATGCTCGCTGAAAGTTCTGTGCTCATCAAAAACAACACCAAAACGGTTAACAGTTGACAAAGATTAATTTATTGTAGAACCAATTTTCAATTCCAGTTTAGGGACAAGAAAATTGGATAAGATAATGTGAAATTCAGTCGTGTTAGCATTCAATTTTAGCATCCTAAAAATCAGCTGGGAGGACAGAAAAACAAATGACAGTGTCCTGAATGAAGTAAAAACGAGCATCGAAGCCTTCATTTAAAAAAAAAATCCTAACTAATATGGAGTTGGATGATGGAATCTTCTATTCCCAACTTAAGGAAGGCAAGTGTAAGTTAGGCGGACAAAAGAAAATAACTAAAGACACCTTAAATGCAAATTTGAAAAAAAAAATGTAACATTGATGGCAACAATTGGGAGATCAATGCCACAGAGAGAATCTTTTGGCGAACCATTACTTGAGAAGGAACAACATCCTTTGAAATCAACAGATGTGCAGAGCTGAATGAGAAGAGAAGGAATGGAAAATAGAGGCAGCTGCGACCAAATATCGTTCTGCCTGCAGGAACTACCAGCCCTTAATGCCAAACTTCTAAGGCCGGGATAAGTCACCTAAGAGTTCACCAACAAACTACCGGAACATAGACAATCATCATCGAATTCGAGGGATAGCCAATAGAAGAGTTGCAAGTAAACCAAATTGGATTTCCAAAATGCACTTTTTAAATTCATGAAATGTATGTGTATATTCAGACAAATGATTAAATGGGATATAAGTCTCTAACATTGCTGGTTGTAGTTATTTGATTGTCGTCCTAATTGCCAGAATATGCATTTATTTGCCTTAAGTGAAAATGTTGTCAACAAAATATGCTTGTTTGAATTTTTTACCTTATCAACATTCCATAATACTGTACTGTCATAGAATCGTTTTGGTTGATGTTTTGTTTGAAATGTATGTGTATATTGAGACAAATGATTAAATGGGATATAAGTCTTTAACATTGCTGGTTGTAGTGATTTGATTGTCGTCCTAATTGCCAGAATATGCATATATGCCTTAAGTGAAAATGTCAATAAAATATGCTTGTTTGGAGTTTTGACCTTAACAACATTCCATAATACTCTATTGTCATAGAATCATTTTGTTTGATGTTATAAACAATATACACCTATTCATCGTCGGCTTCTTTTATAAACACATACATTAGTTTAATTGAGGTTATATGCAAACATTTCTCATAAATAAGGTCATCCAGGACTTCCGGGAGTACCTGTACTGCATTTTATACTTGCGAAGCGATAGTTATTCCAGAGATCGAAAATCGTATGGGCCAAGCCCAATCTAACGGTCGGCTGGTTTGATAAATTTATATCTTTAATACTTTATTTTCCGATCTTTTACTCTGTCTATTGTAAAATAGAATCCCGAGCGACGGACCCTGATTTTTACATACGGATACAGTATATCTATTTGAGTGCATATTCAGAAAAAACGCATGAGTGCTTGCAAGTGTGTGAGATAACTAATGCGTTGTGAGTAAATACAATTTTATAATTGTCATGTTTTCTTGTTGTTGTATTTTGTTGTAATACGTTGTATTGTTAGCTGGATGTCGTGCGTTTAATTCAACAACATTCATACTTTTGGGCATATAGAAAAACATACACTAATAGTTAAAAATTGTTTGCTCTGTGACATTTTTCTGTGATCAATATTCACGTGATACACACCAAAATTGTTTAACTTTCTGAAGGCCTTTTAGATAACCACAATTTATGACCTCCTTAGGGGCGAAGTAGATAACTTCTTCATTTAGGTAGTCTTCGCCTTTTTTTAATCTCATCATCGTTTATAAATAGGCTTGACGATCTGATAGTAAGGAATATTAGCTGTTGACATGATTACAAACGGTGTCAGAAATAGGGATAAAAGATTGTACTTACTGCAGCGTAGACTGTGCCATCGTGATTGCAGGGCCGTTTTTTATGTACATAATAGGGAAGTTCGAGTGTATTCGTCCGGTTGATCACTTTTCGTAAAGCCATTACAACTTTCCTATGTCAAAACCGTTGGTCATAGAGACGTAAGTTTGGTCCCACTTTTTTCAGAACATGCATGTTTCTATAGAGTGCTGCAGTGTTCGTCACGATACCATGGGATGCTACTCCGTTGCTATCGTTGCTAAAAGGGTTCAACCGGACGCCATTTTCTTCACTGACACACCATTGATCCCAAATTCTTACGTAATTATTAAGGTGTTATATCTTACTTTTTCTTTGTAAATTTTAATTGATGATTAAATGTGTGTTCGATAATAATATAATGCGAGCTTTTGTGTTTTAGTACATTTTGATGGTAAAATATTAGATTTTAAAATGCCTATTCCAGAAATCCAATGAAAACATTCAGGCGTGATGAACATTAACCAACGTCTGTTGACAACAGAGAGCGCCACCTGACGTCGTGACCACACGACTGTCGTACTCTATTGGCACTGATTTAATGCATTGACTACAAGTGGCAGGAAATGTCATTTCTGACCTTTGTCATTAAGGGCCCTGTAACATATCCATATCTCAATAACCGTTGGTCAAAAGATCTACGTTTGGTCCCAAATTGCTTGGAACATACGTGTATATATTTATTCTAATGCAACATATTGTCTAAAGGTGATTGAAAATGACATTTCCGACCTTTAAGCTTAGGTAACTGGCATAACTTTGGCTCTATTTTTTTAGGGTTCCTTCTTTGTCAGTTTTAGTTCTTGTCTGTTAATTTTATGTATCTGAATTTGTTTTTGACAAAATAAAGAATTTTTGTGTATTTCTATATCAGAACATACCGTACAGGTTTCTGTAAATGTGTTTTAGTTAACAAAATTGATATTTTTGACCTTTGACTTCTTCCCAAACTAAGAGACTTGATTATTGTCTCTGAAATACCAGAATATGTATCTATGTACATTAACTGAAAATATTGTATATGAAATTACGAAAATGTTTGTTTTGATTTCTGACCTTTGTAATCTGGCCATAGATATTATTTTTTTAATTAAGAAAATGTTTCTTCTACATAGGAAACTCCTGCAACTCTAATAATAATAATAATAATAACAATAATAATAATACACCCTTAGATATGTAAATATTTTCCCCTAGTTTCCGATAGTTGATTCAATAAATAATAACAATAACAATATAACATTGAAGAAATTATGCATTGTGTTGCATACTATCTGTTCTATAATGCTTCACATCGTAAAGTAAAAGCACAAACAAATAAATCGAACAAAAAATGCGAAAAAAGTGACACAACAAAATGATTATGTAGAATCTCCAAGGAGTCACGGTCATCTCACAAGCTAAATTATTGGATACACGTTTGCCCTGCCACAGGCGAAATGGTGCTTATGGATGGTCGCCAAGAAATTCAGTCAGTGCACAACTTCAGTCATCTCAAATAAAAATCTTACAAAGTATAATGAAATACAGCCCTCTGATATGCAGCCATGCAATACGGTATGGAATACCACAGTTGACCATTTATAGAACAACTGTAAATATTTAGAATAATGTTCCTTCTACTACCATTTAAATGCTGTTTTTCTGTTAATTGTTGTTCTAAAGCGCGTCATTATGTGTAAGAATTAATTTCCTGCCTTGTTTGAATCCCAATAATTTTCCTACAATATATGTTTACTTTTTTGTGTACAATTATGTTGTATAAAAAAGAATGAAATAGTATATTGATCAGATGGAACAAAATATGTTATAGGCCTACACGTCATTAAATGAAAAGTACCATTATTGTATTACAGCAAAACGTTTACAATATACTGCATTATAATATACCGTCATGTTGGTGATAATAAAAATATATCCTATCCATGTACATAACACAGTGTTATGTACGCTTGAATTTTAACACTGACAATTTTTTTTAAACCTATGCTTCAAAGTAGTCATCGTCAGATAATAATAGCAATTAGAAAATTGTTTACTCTCTCATTTTAGTAACATATATTATCTCTCCATAGGATAACATATTTGTGAGTGTTGTTAACCCTACGATGAAACATATTATTCGTTACTACGACAAGTCTAATCCTAGTAGAGTAGTGTTCCAACATACCTTTAGTAGCGAAATTCGTCTTTTAGATGTATACGTCAACGGTCCCAACATCCAACCAAAGCCAAAAACGTGTAAGTAATTGTTCGTCTTAGAATAAGCATGGAGAACTAATTCCTCCATTGAATAAGCAATTGTTATACTGTTATAATATTTAATAGCATTCAACATATGTCTGTTCTCTTCCAGTACCGTGTAATTTACATACATGTAGCCACCTTTGTGTATCAGCCGACAACGGAAAACACGAATGTATCTGTAAAGATAACTATGTTTTATTTCCAAATGGAACATGCAGTATTGGTTTGTGTATCTTACTTATTTATTATTGAAAACATCTATAGCCCGAAGATATTTTGAAAATAGTTACAAAACTCGCACCTCTTTTGTACCGACGGTAAACATTTGGTGAACCTGATGTCATTAATTAAAATTAAACTTTTCAAATTAAAGATAAATTTTATTGTTCTCCAATATTTTCAAAAACTATAAGAATTAAGAACTGGTCCTTATTGTACCACTCATATGTTTAGGACGGCTCGCAATTTCGAACTGTCTTACTTTGCTTTTGGTTTATGAAAATGTTCCTTTTTAACTAGCGTGTTTTATTATTTCTTTTCAGATTCCACGAAATGGTACCCACCGGGCTGCATAATAGGTAGCACGGACGCCATTTCAATGTTTTACCCGAATGTAATTCATAGCTCTTTGGACGATAAACAACAATTTATTAAGCGCGTCTTACGTAAAAAAATAATTACAGCTGTGACAGTTGACATATACAGTAATTTGTTGTTTTTTGCGGAAGATACGACAAAATCAATATCTGTTATAAGAATTGAAAAAGGCACATATCCGAGAATAATTCACACTTACACTGGCGGTCGGGTTGATGGTAAATATTTGTGTTTATTATCATATTAACATTACAGTATACAAAGGAAAAATGTAAAAAGTGAAAAAGAAAATATTTCTTCTTATTTTGGTCAAAAGTGCTTATACGTTTTCATTAATAGTTGATACTTAACAACTTGGAATTATAGCAGGATATAGCAAGTACCTACGGATTTGAATCAGTGAAAACAACCTCAATTATTATTGAATTCATCGTTGGCAAACGTCTGGCTTGGTACATCAATATATATTACATTTTTTTGAAAATTAGTGAGCTTTGATCGTAATACACAAACATAATTAAACAAATTCACACTTCCGTGACCGTCTTGCGTTCTTTACACAAGTGTTGGCTCAAATCACGTCCTATATTGTGATAATATAATATATAACGATAAAGCTTTTCACACAACCTCAATTTTTGAGGATATTAATATTCATGCTTTACGTCTGACATACATAAATCAGTGCAAAGAAAGTATAACAATTAACTGCGATGACCATAGGCCTAGCACAAAACAGAAGAAAATATTTTCATTGATTCATTTATTTATTTATTTCAACAGTATTTTGTGAGGATGGTCCATCGACCCAAAGCTGATCAATTGATACAATCTCATCACATAAAATATAAGACAATAATAGTAGGCAGTTGCTATTGTTTGCACCATTCTTCTAAACCTGATTAGATGTTATTGTAATAACATCTATAAGAATTTGTTTATGACTGGTGTAACAATAGCAACTACCATATACGCCTCCAAAAGTTCATTATTTTCATCGCCAAAAAGGGAGAGAAAAAGCAGAGAACAGATAAATTACACTGAAAAAAATGAATAAGGGAAACTATAAGTTATCGCTAGAGCCTTCGATATCTTAAAACCCAATACACTATAGTTTATATTTTATTATATATCTAAATGTATACGCAGTGTTAAGGTGTGATTACAATCAAGTTTAAATATTGTTTACACACTAGGTATGGCTGTTGACTGGATTTCGCTTAACGTTTACTGGGTTGACTATCTAAAAAATCTCCTAATGGTTTCATCGTATGACGGAATAGCTCAATCAACACGGTTTTTTAACGTCATTAGGCCTAGGGCTATAGCAGTAGACCCAAATGCAAGGTAATTTTATTATTTAGCATAACCAATCTTTCTCGAGTTATAGGCTTCTTTATTGAAAATATATTTGTGTTACTGTATGTAAAGGGTCCATTTTGCTTATCAAGGCCTAATCCTACTCATTATAACGTTATTATATTATATGTCTTATTTTCGACATGATGTAATAATTTTTGTTTCAACGATTTTATAATTAAAGATGTATTTTTTCCTAAGAATGAAAAAACTCTTATTTTTAATTTTAACAATAAATTCTGCCTAATAGTTGTTAAAAACTGGATAATTTGTTTTTTAGGCCAAAATAGGTGGTACGGAACAAGGTATGGCCAGAAAATTGTTAAGGACATTTTTAGCTCAGTAGTATCAAAGGTGTAATTATTTCAGAATACTTTTTAACTATTTTCAAAAGTATTTCAGCTTTACTGTACTCTTAATAATTTTATTTGTGATTACTGGACTATTGCTTTTAGATTGTTTACTATTGAAGTATGAAATTGACGCCTTATGTGCTTGTATTGATTTTAGAGTGCAAGATTTATCATGAATATATTATTATGAAAACGTAAATGTAAAAAATCTCTACCATCAATCGTAAATCGTACAACGTTAAGGCGGGCTCAGGTCGACACGAAACTGAAAGGAACTCAACTCAACTCGTCGACTTGAGCGCTCTGCGCAACTGAAAGAGCTGAGCTGAACGCAACTGATAGGAACTAAACTCATGTCGATTTTGAGCAACTGAAAGGAAATGAACGGAACTCAAAGGAAATTGACTCATGTCCACCGGCAACTGAAAGGAACTATTGGTTTAAAAAAATCCCATCAACTGCAAAATGTCTGTAATGTTTGTACTAGGACATGTAAATATTTTAAACAGTGTATCTACGTTACTTTTTGATTTTGAAATTGTTGACCGGCAACTGAATGGAAATTTACCGCACGGGCGCAGCGAAGTAAAACCGTAATATTTGTAGTGTCCCTAGTAACAACTTGAAGAATGGAGTAAGTTAAATGTAATTAGTTAAAACGTTTAAGTAATTGACCAGCTGATTATATCAAATTTCCAATTTATTTCTTCTGCGCACTTGACAATTATACTAACGATAAGTAGTGGACACAATTTAGAGTGTGAACTGAATTGTAAGTATATGACAACCTTGATAGCAAGGTGTATTAGTAAAAAAATGTACCTCTTTTTTATTTATTATTTTTATTGTAATACCATGGTATTAAATACGAACGTATTTCTTTAGACTAAATACCTGGCCTAGGCCTATATTTTTTAAACAGAGTATAAGCCATCTAACATTAACAAAACATTGTAATAAATTATTTTTTTTTAGTTAATGCATTTTGATTACGATTGATATCAGGATGAACGTTTTCAGTTTCCTTTGAGTTCCGAATCAGCATTGTTTCGCGCTGTTTTCAATTCCTTTTAATTAATTTTAGTGTATTATCTAATTTAAATAATTGTAAATACAATGTTAATTCCAGTGTAATATCAAATTTAGTGCCTTATTAATTTTTATTGGGATGCTGTTGACTTGTTTTTTTTTTTTTTATTTATTTAATTCTAGTGTATTATCTGATTTAAACAATTGTAAATAAAATTTTAATTAATTCTAGTGTAATATCAAATTTAGGCCTTATTAATTTTTATTGATGTTGTTAACCTGAAAATTTTAGATATGTAATTCAAATTTAGCCAATTTGTTTTTTTAAATATTTTCATTTGTTGTTGAGTGCAATCGTTTTAATTAGTTTATAATTGTTTTTTATGTCGAATTTTGTTGATATTTCTCAATTCAGCCTTTGTGTTGCCACGAAATATATTTCGATGTGAATAAACCAGAATAAATAAATAAATAAATAAATAAATAACATACTCTACACCAAAGGTTTTAGAGGAGAGGCCCACACGATTTAATGGGGAACGCAGTGCGAGGATGCAGAGGATCGTTTTTATTGGCAATTCGCTCAGCCACCGACTATCAACAGTTACAGAACCATAGTATCAGAGGAGTAAAAATTCCCATATTCCCTGGTTCCTATTGCTAATATCTTTTAAAACTGCCTACATTTGAAACATTTCAATTCTTAGATTTTTTAGTGTGAGAAAATAATGTATTAAATTTAAAATACGTAAGTTAAGTGAAATACATAGCGTACTCTTTCCTTTGCTTTTTTCCTAAAGGATTTATATTGTTGGTGAAGATAGTACACTTATATATACTATTGACTATGATGGTATCGAAAATGTTGACGTTATTGGCTCAAGTATCAGTCCGGCTAAAGACATCACTCTTTATCAGGTAAATGATTGAGACTTTGTTGATTATTATAATTTGTATTCTTTCTTTTTGCTATTTTCAACTTAGGAAAGCGACAGAGTGTACAGGTTCAAACACGTATTCCATATATTTACTTCTGTCATCATATTTTGGCATCATTACAAATGCGATATGTACATTTTATGTAATTATAATGATAATAATAAAACAATATAATCCTTATAATAGTAGTAGTAATGATAATAATGAAAATGATAATAATGATGATGATTATGATACTTGATAGGTTAATTCTTTTGCACATTCTTTCTGACGATATACTGGGATAACAATGATCATCATGAAGATGACGATGATGATGGTGATGATGACAACGATGATGATAATGAAGACAGTGGCGGTATTGATAATGAAAACGTTAATGTAGACGGCGATAAAAAATAATGATAATGATAATAATAATAAGTATTGTTTGCACATGCCTCTTTCTAGGACTTCATTATATTAGCTGGATCGTACGAGCGACAGTCGGGATTTATTGAAGCAATACACAAGGTCTCTGGTAGTCATGAAGGTCGTATAAATGTGAATACTACAGTCTATGCCATTGAAACCTTTGATGAATCAGCTCAACCTATAGCTACACGTATGTTGGTATTTGTATCACATAAAAAGTATACAATTCAAAAAGATTCACACAACACAATTCGTTCGAGAGAAAAAAAATGCAGTGTCTAATTTAATCATACTAGAAATTAAAAGGCAAAAATAAAAGGATTCACAGTACTAATCCTTTGAAACCCCTTAAGGCTATGTTCACACACACGGCGTAAGGCTGGCTTAAGCTTGGCGTAGCGTACGCCTTTGTGTGTGAACTAGGCAGTGGCGTTGTTAAAGCCACTCACTACGCCACGTCCTTGGCGTTATTAACGCTACCTGCAGACCCCAGATTAGCTAACGCCACTGAGCTAACGCCAGTGATGCTTGAATGATTTGACCTCATTTAAAGAGATTGACCAATCACGATTGCAATATATTAGTTACTTTGGTCTCTTTTCTGTGCTCTCTATAAATTTTTATTGCATTTTAATTAGTTATAATGTATATGATTTATTGATTGTGTTTTGTAAGATATTTTAACAATTTAGACTGTCTATTAAAACATGCAACATCAACAATGCTAGCTGAAAAATCAAAAGTAAAATTGTTCATTTAAAATACAATAATCATATAGGCCTAAGTTCACTTCGAACAATTCACACATTTAATAGTTTTCATGATGCACTGTTAATTTTACTGCTGTTAACACGTACATTATTTAAAACTGAAAACTAATCCACTCCACATAGGCCTATACTACTGCTAGTTTAACGAACGCCGTTTGTGTGAACACTTTGGAATTTTAATCCGGGGATTAGCTTACGCCTGGCGTAAGCCACGCCAGTCTTACGCCGTGTGTGTGTGAACATAGCCGAATAATATTATAGCGCCGCCGACCCAAGCCTATTTACACTCCCATCGAAGGCATCACCCTCTCCGTCGGGGACATCGGACCTTGTTTGGCAAATCCTGGTGCCACTCTTACACATGTTTGTCTTTCTTCACCACAACGAACATTGTTAGCAACAATATTTAGCATTATTTTATCCTGATATATATATTCTCAAATTGTTCACAACTCACCCCAACCATCTTGGGGCCTAGGTGGTGTGGACTCTTATGCACTCCTACCGTCAAATCCTGCATCCGCCCAAGTGTGGCTCTTTTAGTTTATATATTATAGTCAAAATGCGATGGGCATTCAACAAAGGGTCCAGTGAGCACAATGGTGTTTGATGAGTACTTTACACGCAATTACTATACGCAGGATTAGAGCCTTCATTCTACAAAATAATAATTGTCAATTTATGTAGCGCATAATGTACAATACCTCTGTGCACTTTACAGCAGGAAGTGGGATAAATTATTTAAAGTTTCACCAAAAAACAAAATAATGGATAACAATAACATAAAGTCTGTTTTATATTCATGTTTCTAAAGCAAAAACATAAACAAGGTGATATATTTATTTTATGCAACGTGTTTATTTTGTTTTATACAGTGGCGGCACCAGCGTATAAATCAGGGCGTGGGAGTGGGGGAGTAAGGGGAAAGCAGTGGCGTAACAGGCGGGGGGAGCAGGGGGAAGACTGCCTCCACCCCATTGACGGAGTGTACCGGGCTGAGTAAGAAGAGGAAGAAAGAGAGAGCGAGAGGGAGGGAAAGAGAAAGAAGGAGAAAAGAAAAGAAAAAGAAAATTGAAAGAAAAGAGAATGACAAGAATAAAAAGGAAGATATTATATGATCAGACACGGTTAACCCTGCACCCTCTTCTCTAGTTCCAAAAATGTCCACAGAGTTAGAACGAAATAGTTGTGAGTAATACATATCTGATGTAAATGATACACAAGCTGCAGGATGTTCCAATGTGAATGCTATCAAAAGTTCAAAATGTTCAAATGGTTTACAATCGAGAGACCAATTACAATACTCCACCATAAAGAGCTAGGTAAAACGATAATACGAACCCTCGGCCTTGTATTGACGATGACGTCATCAAAAATCCTGAAAATATTTAAAACAAACGGCCCTTTTTAGTGCCACCATAAGTGAAAATGAGATTGTTAGTTTCTGTCTGCTTATTATTTCAAAGCTATAACATAAACAAACCATACACAAAGTATACGCATTAAACAGCAACAATGATTGAGTCTTACCGCTCGAGTGTACTACCGGCAACATAACACAACAAACATACATATGTCATTTGTATGTTATCGTCTAGGTGTATCTTCCCCGAACTACCAGCCGTTGAGTCTGTGGTCCTACATTGTATAATAAATAAGTTATAAACGCTAGAATGTTCCCCCGTTTTTGACGAGTATACAGCAACACCCTGTGGGCGAGTATACTCGTCGCTGGCAGCCAACGTGTTAAATTATCATTTTTTATTTTTCCTTCTGCTTTTAACCACATAACAGGCTAATGTGATTTATTCATTGCTTTTTACATTCTTAACTCAAAATATAATATCAATATACGAAAGCATTTTTACATTCTGTTTTTCCAGTTTGTTAATTATGTTAACTACACTATCCCACACTCATAAAACACATGCTTTTAATTTTCATCTTTTTTATATAAATAACAATAACATTCTTGTTTTGTGTTCCATACAACCAACCTCTTATCATTTGGTAAGATTCTATGTAATAACTTAAAATTCATTTCTGCTAGTCTTGTTCCTTTTATTCTGAAGACCTTATTACTCCATATTAAATCCCAGTCAAAATGTTTACCTTGAAAGATATTCTCCCATTGCTTCTGGGAAGTTGGTTCACAAAATATTTGTTGTATTTGTTTAGTATAACATGTTTTGGAATTAACCTTTAACAACTTATTGGTTTCGTTTATAATTGAATGCTTCTTGTTTATCTTACTATATATTGGTCCATGGTTTTGGTATTGCATTTAAAACCTGTTTTACCTGTATAATCCAGTTTCTTTGATTTATAAGAGCTGCTTTTAACATAGTTGGTGATTTTAATCTATTACCTTCACATATATCACCCACACAACTTATATTGGAATTAATCCACTCACTAATAAACAAAGGTTTGTTCTTAAATCTAATGACATCATTTCCCCATAGCAGTTGTTTCTTTATTTCATTAACATCTAAATTTCCAATTTGTGAAATGTTGGTTTTATTTTCTAGTACAATTGATTTAAGCACATCAACATAAAATTTTTGAGTATTTTTAAAATGTATCTTATCATTTATTTGCAGACAATTAATATGTATAAGGACTTTCAGGGGTGCAAATTTCTGCATATAATATTTTGGAATATCTTTCCATAACCCATCTTCGCCACATAACAACCTTTTTATCCATTGAAATTTGAGTGCAAGACATTGAGTGTAGAAATCAGGTGCTTTCAAACCACCATCATTTATATTTCCAATTAGCGTTTTACGTTTAACCTTTTCTGTGGAGGAGTTAAAACAATTCCGTTAATGACTTTAAAAACTTTTTCTGGAACATCTATCACACTTGCATTATATACCAAATTACTTAGACCTAATGATTTTACAATGATTATTTTGCCTAATAAAATGAGATTTCTCTTTTTTCATCTATTTAGCAAGGTTTTTAATTTATTTTTTTTTTCTGTCCAATTCATGTGGTAACATAAGTTTTTGTCATGTCATATACACCTAATATTTTTAGAACATTCTTCCATTTAAGATTGTGCGATTGTTCAGGACACGAATCTTTCCATGGTCCTATCCATATTCCATTACACTATTCTTTATTCAATTTTATTCCACTAACATTTGAGAAATTTTCAATTATCTCAATTGCTTTAACAATACTATCATTGTTTTTTAAAAACAGAGAAGTATCATCTGCTAGTTGACATATTTTATATTTTCTGTTTTTAAACCCCGGCCTATTGAGGCCTATTTAGTATTGTATTTGTAGGCTGACTGCAAATGTGTGCCTATCACTTCAATGTACCAAAGCAATCACCTGCTTTAATTTTGCATCGATTCAAATGCATGCTCCTATGCTATAGGGTGAAGCAAGTCTTCCAAGACAAGGATTATAAACCGTAGACCCACCCAGTGTACACTATTAGCTAAAAATAAAAATCTGGATTGATAGTATTTATCTTTATGTAATACTGCACATTATTAATTTAAAATTGTTAAAAATAGTCGGGTTCCAGTCCCTAAACTTTGTCTTAATTAGTGAATAATGCTTAAGAATAAATCGATTTGGCACCAATGGCGTTTCATATTACTTATTTGCATGGCGTTCCATAATACCTTTTTTGGGATTAGGTTTCAATGTTCCAAAAAAATCAATAGTGGCAAGTCTTGGGGTGGGGAATGTCATATAGCATCTGTGCATAAACATGAATGTAGCCTTGTTCCGACCGTGATATCGTAGTTCGAACAAGCGCTTGTTATGAGGCTGACACCGACCGTATGAACGGGATCACCTGATAGAAAACGAGTGCCTCACCCCGCAAGCTAACACCGAAAATGACCGCATTTGCAAGGCTCTCATCCGACAGGACTTTCTGTTAATTGACTTGCCACATGTTGATTGCAATAACACCTGTAGCTTGACCACAGTCTCGTTTTCGAGGCAATTCTACTAGGCCTAGTTGGTTCATATCAACCAAAGCATCATTAAAATTACCTTTTTGAGTTGTTTTTAACTTCATAATTGTCAAAAGTAATCTAAATAATTTCAGGACAAATTTATATTATTACCGTTCGTTGTAAACTTAATATACATTTTTATGTCTTTTTTGTGGGAAATCCGCAAAATACCGCGTTCGCTGTGTCCAATGATATGGGGCTGAACGAGATATGGTGAACGCCGGTGAGATACTGCATACGTACTTGATTTTGAAATTACAGCTAATACATTAGCCTTAACTTAAGCCACTGCAATTCACACATTCTAGCAAGAAGAACCAATTGGAAGAACAACGAACAAAACGTTCGTATTCGCATAATACATTTAAAGGCTCGGGTTATAAATGCTGCCGAAAATCTCCTAAATGTTTTACCTATTAAAATAGGTAGGCTTAGGGTATTTGAGAAAAAAAAAACTGTTCGCTTTTCGAAATGCTCTACCAAGTGAAGATGCCCAATTCAAAGCAGGCCTAGCCTAATGTAATTTCTAGTTTGTCGTCTTCGTTTCATTAAAACGTCATCTTCAACTTTTTTATATCGGTGTATAATCGCTATAACTATCCGCTAAAACTCTCGGATAGACATACGATAAAATTTGATGCGACCTTGACTGGATTTCTCATTAACTTGCATCGGATAGGAGTGATCGTGAGAACATGGCTTGTAGCTGCCAAATTATGTTTTTGCCACAACAGTGTTTGTAATGAAAATGGTGTTTATATAATTCTTGCTGACCGTTTTTGCAGTCTTTTGACTATATATTTTTTTCATGCGTTTCCCAAAACCGGTTTGATTGTGCTATAAGGTCATTTTCGTTGAGATATGTAATCATTTGATCTTGGACTTCCTTTTCAACAATTTTGCTATGTGGCATACCACTGAGATTGATCTGTAGTTGTTAGAGCTTTACCTTTGTATATGGGGTTAGTCATTGAGACTTTCCAGTTGTTTAGAACCATACCATTCATTAATAATTTAGTTATAATGGAACATAGAGATATCGCGATATAGCATGATGCAAGTGAAGTTTATAGCCTAGTATCGAAACTATGAACATCAATGTTACAATTTTTAAATAAGCATTCCATTTTATTTTTTCAATATTACCAGTTACAAGTGTTGTAAAATTAAGTGTGTAATTACAATTTTGGGTTTTCTATTGTGTTGTCTTTTTTAATTGTGTTTGAAATGTCTGTTCCTATATATTAAATAATCGCTAACATTTTTACAATCAAGATTTGGATGGATATTGTTTGAATTTTTGTTTATTCTTTTCATCCTACAAACGTTTGGATTTTCAAATTTTACTCTTGCATTTGTTTATAAGTGAATGATTATTTAAAGATGTTTGTCGGCTAAGCGTTTAACATAATCACAGTCATACATACTTTATGAAATGAGGTACCGGTATGATCCATTTAATTTTATTTAGCTTAAGTAAATAGAACCAATATGTAAAATAATTGTTGACAGTATTCATTGATTATTCTAATAAAAACATCAATTTAATAAATATAGCAAATGTGCGTTTTCTTTTGGTCTTGAGAAGTAGAAATGCTTAATTATGATGGTCAGTCCAACAAATAGGCGGCTCTTCAAAGATGCTCTCTCAGACCATCTAAAAATTAAAAATCTAATAATCCAGAATTAATTATTGTCAAAATATTGTAGAAATCGGAAGGAGCCTTACTCCAAAAGCAATACGTCTGTGGTGCAGATTTTAGTTGACATAGTAAATTTGCATGCGCGAAGGGTCCCGACTGTACCCTTGAGCCAGGGCCCCTCACAACCTAGTTACGCCACTGCAGGTAGTCTGTACTAGAATGGAAGAAGCATAAGAAGGCCCACACAGCGGTTGAATCGCGAAATGGAGCAACTGATCACTCAGGCTGACGTAGACATGAAAATAGCGCATTTCAATAGAACAACTAAAACAATATTGTGTATTTTCAGACTGACAGTAAATGTAAATTAAACTCCAGAATCTACTATCAATCACTTGTTTTATTCTTTTATTGGTTCAAATACATGGCCAATACAAAGCCTGAATCCCAGGGCCGTAAAAGGTGAATGGTACGTCGTGTGTTGTTCTACCAAAATCGAGCACAGGTCCTTGCGACAAAATGAGGCTGGTACAGACTTGCAAATAGGTCATGCGGAAAATATGTTCTATCAGGATGATTATCAATAATTCATTAGATTTTACCGAACTATCCTAAGTTAAAAAGGTTCGCATAATGGTACATTTAGACCAACATCGAACGTTCGAGTATTGCATGAAAAAGACTTGTCCTCCTACTAAGACGATGGATTAACCTTGCTTTGGTTAGAATTGACAAAAATGTGACTGTAGATGGTCATAATGAACTTCCAGTGTGTTTTGCAGCAAGATATACATGACCCTCTTGAAATCCAGAATTTGTCACAAAAAAAATAATAAATAACTCCCAAAACTCAGGGTCGTTATTTATTTGTTGTTTAATCATGTTCAGTTACAACTAAATAATTCATATTATTCAAAATGTCAACAAACAATTATGTGACATAAAACAACAGAAATTCAGTAAAGACTATCCAGATTTTTCAAAGTTTATAAAATAATACTCATATTGTAAAGACCTTTTACACAATTTCGTTTAGGAGCTTATGACATTGAAGTAAAAAAAAAACGATTGAGTTCGATTATGCAAAGTATTTTCATATAAGGCAACTGGAGATGAGTTACATTTTCTTTTAGTTTACCTTTTGTACAAGGGTTTTTGGAAAAAATGATTCTTTCATATTTTTATACATGTTCTTTCAAAATTAAGCTTTTATCTTTTATGGACGCCTTGTGAACGTTGATGTAGGTCGGTATACGCTGAATGTTCGCTGGCCATTCGTTACTCATTAGTTAGACAAATGCTGTGTATACGTTATTCATTCGCTATGGCAAAGTTTCAGATGGACTGGAGGTATTTGGACGAACAAAGGACGAACAGAAAACGTAAACCCAACGTGCAAAACGTTCAAACAACGAATGCTCACCGTATACAAAGCGTATTAGGCAGAACGTCGTTGTCATACGTTGAAAATGTCCACAAATCAAAATCGACCCCAGCGTACCTCAGCGTACCACAAACGAACAGCTAACGAATACAACGTATGCCAAACGTATTAGGAACGTGTCACGAACGAATGTCAACTTACCCGAACGTAAACCAATATTTTGGTAAACGTCGGCATACGTTGGTTCTATACGCTACAGTGTGACATGGGCTTTAACCAATATTTTGATAAACGTCGGCATACTTTGACTCTATAGGCTACAGTGTGACAGGGGCTAACAAGGAAATTCACATCATTATCATTATTAAAAAATGTTGCAAAATGTATTATATATGCTTCTTTAAAAAGAAAGATGTATGTTAACTGATTTTTCCACCTTTTAAATATGGTTTGTTTATACTTTGGGCCAGTGGCCATTAATAAATGCCGTAGATATCAGAGTCTACGGCGAGAAAGTAAAATCTTAAAAAGTTCCATATTTGGGACAGCTTTCACATCGTATTCAATGCATTCTACAACAAGGTGATATTAAAGTGTTTCATAGTGCACCTAAAAGGTTTCAATGAAACAGAACGTGATCTCCGTACAAGGCATATGGGACACCAAGGCCATGCTAGGAGAGCGAAACAACAAAAGTTATCTATCATGCACTCCCACAAATTACAACATCGCGTATGTTGCGATTAATCTGAACTAATAGCTACTGTACCATCTTGACATTTGAGACGAACCCTTGAAGCTATAGAAACTCACAAACACGATACAGTACGGTGCATCAAGATATCAGTTTGTGATCAGATTATTAGGTTGTCCATGTTTAATCGGACCTAAACCAATGCAACAATTTTTTCCGGCCACACTGGAAACCATGCCATAGTTTTTGGCTTTCCTTTTCATCAACTAGAAAAATGCCACTGTCTTGGCTTTCTAGCAACGCCCCACCATTTTGCACAGACAGAGAATTTTGGCTTTTGTATTAGCTTTTTCACACATAGTCTCAGTTATTGTTTAGTTTTCCACCAATCAGTCTCACTACTCAAAAACACATAAGTATTTCACTGTTTTTGAATTTCTGCAGATATTATTCTCCTGAAGACGATTGAAGCAACTCAATCTAAACGTCGAGATATTCTCAATCAACAACAACGGTTCTTTCAGGAGCGGATCCAGAGATGTCCAAAAAAAGGGGGGGGGCGAAGGGGTGGGGGCGCCCCTGAAGCTCTTTTTAGAACTATCTACGTGCTGCACCACAAGCATTAATATATGTTTTTATTTCGCCTCGCAATCCTTCAAACAATATTCATTGAAGCTTTATATTTCCGGTACCTTATAGGTACAAACCTGTTTCCACCAATCAGTCTCACTACCCAAAAACACATAAGTATTTCACTGTTTTTGAATTTCTGCAGATATTATTCTCCTGAAGACGATTGAAGCAACTCAATCTAAACGTCGAGATATTCTCAATCAACAACAACGGTTCTTTCAGGAGCGGATCCAGAGATGTCCAAAAAAAGGGGGGGGGCGAAGGGGTGGGGGCGCCCCTGAAGCTCTTTTTAGAACTATCTACGTGCTGCACCACAAGCATTAATATATGTTTTTATTTCGCCTCGCAATCCTTCAAACAATATTCATTGAAGCTTTATATTTCCGGTACCTTATAGGTACAAACCATGCCCATATTATTGCTGCAATATTATAGTATGTTTTATAAGCAAGTCGTTACTCGGGTTCTTCTGATAATGGATGTTTAATGTTAGTTTTTTGTTTAACAAAATTGTCTTCATTCTGTTCGTTTATAGTATTAAAACATAATCGTTCAACTACATATTCTTTGTTGTATAGTAACTACAACACCAGAAATAACCACTACGTCACCTTTGACGACACGAAGGATTGTGCAAACCACAGGTAAGCGATTTAAATATGATTTTAAATATAATAATCTGAAACATTATAAGGATTTGAAAATACAATACATACCGTATATATATATATATATATATATATATATATTTATATATATATAATACATATATTTATGTATGTATATGGTATATATGTGTGTGTGTGTGCTCCTGTGAACCCATACTAACCGATGACACACCTGTGAAGACACACCTGTTTAGAGATGACATACTCGCAAGCGATGACGTCGCCAGTTCTCAAAATAGCTTTAAACAGAGAGCTCCCTCTATATACCACCTGGTGTAATATCTGAGCTTTTCCTCAAAAGTCACCGTTAGTTATGAATTTTTTCAAGTTCATAGACACACGTTGTGTGTTGTAAAAATAAGCAGCGGTATCTTGTGACATACTCGTACTCAGTTATGCAATGGTCTACTCAGTGTTAGGGCTGTTGCTAAACATCCCTTGCTTACTCACAGATATAGCATTACATACATTTTTAACATGAAAAAAAGGAAGATTAACTATGTCACCACTTGTAAAGTATTTTTTCAATGTCATCGGTTGTAGCTCCTTCACATGTATGTGTGTGTGTGTGTTGCCTTAACCAATTGGGCCAATGAGGCATTGTTGGGAAAATTAAAATCAGATCAAAGTATCTAATTTTTCACAATCATGTGCACGCGTAGTTAGACAGCACTAGACTTTGATGCATGGCAAATAACAAAGATCGAAGGTGACGAAAGACACAATCTCCGACAAGATACTTTTAGCCCAGTTTTTTAAAGGCATCTACATAGATAGCAGAAGTTCCCAGGATCAAATTGAGGTGGGGCACCTATTTTCCCCCTCTTTATTAACGTTTCAACTTTATATATATTTATTGCAAATTGCACAGTAGAGGGTGTATCTATTCAGACCTTATATTGTGCGGACTAGTGTTATTCGAATTGCTATGGGTACGCGTTGAGAATGTTGAAATACTCGCAGTAGCTACCGGATCGAAACAACCAACGAAAGCCTACATGGTCTAGTTGGTAAGACGTTAGCCGTACAAGTTAAAGGTCCCGGGTTCGATTCCCATATATAATGGACGTCTAATATTAATCCTTCTGTTGGACAAAGTTGTTATTGTGTTCGTTTGTAATTAAAACATTAAAAAATAAACAATAACTGCCTATTCCTTCTTTAATAGTGACTACAACAACCACAATATACACTACGTCATATTTAACCACAACCAAGAGGCCTATAATCATAGGTCTCTCGTGGCTAGCACATCAATCGGGCTAGTTCGCACGCCTTCCTGACCGCTTCTATTCCGCCGGCCAGAATTTGAGAAACGGACAATCCGCTGGAAGAACGCGGTCGATTCGACTCGGTCGAATGAAGCGCTTCAGTGGCTCTGTCTGTTGCGACTGGAAAAAAAATAACACTCCAAGATCTGCAACTTACTTTCGATCAGCACCAAGGACCGAGATACATGTAAGATTTTCAGTGTGTCAACATATGAAGTAGTTCCGAATCAAACAAGTGAATATATGACTTATAAGGAAATCGGTCTAGTAGTCGTAAAAAATGCGTCCGGGCGCATAAAAAAATAGTTTTTTTTATGCACTCGGAAGGACACACACCACACACAGGCGAACACACTCATACACACACTATAGTAATGCCCTTAACCTCTCCTTTTGGAGAAGCGTAGGAAATAAGCAAACTAGATGAAGCTTTTCGAATATTTAAAGGCAATGTAGTTTTTGTTTTCCTGAATTTAATCTTTTAGGAAGTAAATTTACTCTTATCATCGGTTGTGCCTCAGGGGCTTTTGCCTTAATTGTTGTGGTGGTTGTAATTACCTTGCTGGGTAAAAGGCATAAAAGGTAAATTTTTATTTTTCAATTATATATTTAGTGTCCGTCTTCATAGAATCACTTACGATCACATACCTATGTTAATAATGATAATAGCAATACTATTAGTAATAACAATAACAATAGAAATAGACAAGAAACAGTAATAATATTATTCATAATATGAATAATAATAACAAAGACGACGACGATGATATTAATTTTAATAATAATAATAATAATAATAATGACGACGACAAGAATAATAACATGTAATTATCGTCAGGTTTCGGGTACACTATAGGAAATGGAAGCCGAAGGCGTCATTATTTCCTTAAACAATTGCTTCAAGCCGCAATAATGATAATGATAATGACGATGACAGTAATAGTAAGAATTAATAGTAAGAAGTATATATATAGTACACTATAGAAAATAGAACCCGACGGAGCCATTATTTCCTTCAAAAATTGTCTGTAGCCACA